TCTTTCTGTTTGTACAAAACTGATAGTGTAACAGCATAAGTTTTAAAGTACTGTGAGGGCTTTATTGTCATTTTATTGTGAGATATTGTAGTTAAGATCGAAGACTTTTCATAATGTACTCTGTAAACCCTGTTGGTTGTAATATTGTTTTAGATTGATGTGTTCGTTGTATATCTACAGATAGCGATATTGAGAACAATGTGAGGTTTTTCTGAAGGCACTGTGAGCACTTCTGTTTCATAGTTTGACAAAACATTGCTATGGAGGAAGGTTTATATTTTGAATATTTTTCAGGAGTTGGATCGGGCACTAGTTCGAAACAGCTCCTGATTGTCAGCTGATTTTGATACTTTACTTTAAAAATGTTAGTTTATAGTCATAAACTTCTCCCGTTAATCAAACAAATTCTAACCCTGTGGAAGCAAGAAACTAGAATCCTATCCCTAAGTGATAATAATACTAAATGAAGAACTGTGAATCATTAATTGGGTACCTCTTGTTCACGAGTCATTGTATTATGTTTATGTTAAGATTCACATGTGTGCCTTTCAGTGCTATTTCTTCTCTAGTAAGAAATAACATCATTTGCAACTTCTTTAAAAATATCTTCAGAACAGACGTCAGAAATTTAATAAAAATATAATAAAATTTTGCCCATTATAGGGTTGTGGAAGAATACATATCACGATTAAACCGGTCTTATGTATGGAAATTTTACTACTAAAGCCTATAAAATTGAGACAAAGAATTAAGTAAAAAATATTCTTGTTGATTTCTTGGAAAAAATATTTTAACGCATCGCATTGTACGAGACAAATTTTGAAATTATCCAATGTTGAATAGCAAATGTCTAGATGAAATATGCACAAGAAAAATGTTAGTCTAACAAATCATTGTTTATATAAGTGTAAAAATACATCAAAAGACTTTTAGAGGCATTATTCAATAGAACAGATTCTCGACATTCTCTGCGCAGAACCATTTTCCGAAATATGACTATGGAAAGAGAGATGTTAGTATTGCATAGTATTTGATAGATGTATCTCTTCAGATTCTATCTCTCATCATGTCATTACCAGTGGTTGATAGGAAAGGCGGGAAATGAATGGCTTTCCATGATATACATAGTAGGTTTGAAAAGAATAAAGTTGTTATCTGCGAGCCAAAATACTATTGAACTAGATATTCTGGCTGTAAAAAAATCGACCAGCACGGTTGTATTTATGCTCATTTACGTCTTGTAATTTTATTTCATTGAATATGATTTCGTTGTTCATCATAATTGTTTATGTCAGACATAATATCAACGAGAATACTCAAGTTACCAACAATAAAACATTATCCCGTCATCACGTTAGCAGCATATCTTGATACAAACAATGATAGACATATCCCAACAGGCACAGTCAATTCATATAAAAGACAACATGAAGACATCAACTATATGCAAAACCAACAGCGAACAACCACTCTTACTACCCTGTAATCAACGATTTTATAGTTGTTTATCGATCTGTACATTATATATCGTAATAGAGAGAGCCCTTTATAAACTTAATGCCCATGAGTGTTTCAAATATGATTTAAGAAGCACACTAAAATATCATAGAATCATTCTCAAATTTTTCCACACTACTCTGTACAACTAATATTTAGGAGATTGAGATTACGTAAATTCTCTTCCATACACTGCTAGTTTGTAAAACAAGCCCGAATCACAATAACGACTACTATTTATCTATTTTGTAGTGAACGGCTCAAATGGAATTTTAAAAAAAGATTTAAACGCTTTAAAATTAAGCGTAATTTACAATCATTATCATCGATAAACGACACTTCATCGCTGGCAAAACCGAAAGAAACTATTTTAACCGATAGAATATGGCACAATGATAATTATAATTCATCTTGTTTGAAACAACAATATCAACCAACTATTTATTCTGTCAATTATACGACGGAAAAGTCTCAGTTTATTCTTTCTTGTGGGATAGATGAATCCAATTCAAGATTGAATTCAATTCATAAAAGAATAAACACCAATTTCCTGCTACTTAATAATCATTCAGTCCATTGCCACCATCAACCCCTATTGATGAATGCCAACGATAAACTTCATCCATCACATAATGTTCATGGACATGAACCAAATGAGCATACTCATTATAGTGAATATACTGATAAAAAATCATATTATGCCATCATTGACAACTATCATTCGATTCTAAATCGAAATGAAAAATTTATCTACAGTTGGAAAATTGAAGAGTATGATAAAAGAATATATTTGACACGTGGTACCATGTACCGTGCTAACACCGATGCGCTAATCTATCGAACAGATCAAATTTGTGTTGTCAATCCATGGTATAAATACGTTCAAGAAAATAATCAAGAAATAATCAAAATATTAACAAAATGTAATTGTCAAAAAGTGTTAGAGATTGTTTTACTCGAATGTAATTGTAATATAAAGAAAAAACCGGATATTTCTCTTATCGAATGTCCGTGTCGACAAACAAATAAAGAATTTTGTTCATATTGTCAAATGGTATTGTTATGGTCAGTTAAAACGGATGTGAAACGTTCAGAAAATGTCCATCATCAAGGTCAACAAACAAATATTAATTTTTCAAGTGATTTTCTTCAAACTGATAACGATAAATTAGTTGAAGTTCATGACAGAGATGATTTTATTTCGACTAAATTAGGACCACATCGATACCAAAAAACTGTTCAAATACAAGTACAATCAAACAGAGTTTTGGCACCAGTGACGGCGTACGATTTCAAGGCGACATCGAATCATCACTTAATTTTATCAGATAAGACAGATGAAAATCAAGGAATGATGACTACTGCCACTGATCAATTAACACTACAGTACAATAAACGAAGACAAACTAGCGACTCATCAGTTGATATGCATAGTAGTACATTTAGAAGTCAAGCACATTTAATAACAACGCATCAAACATCTGTTGACGTAAGTTTTGTTTCGTCCTAAGTACTGTGTGAACTTCTAGATCAACGTCTTGCAGCAGGTGGAGAATGAAAACAAAATAATGATTGTACATTATAAGAACGATAGTGATGATGACATGTTGGTTACACCTGGTTCACGTATACACAGTACGCTAAGTTTTATGGATCGACAAGCAAGTACCAGAGTATTTACCAATGATTCATCTGTTCATTTATCATCATCTCAAAAAATGAGTTATTCAAGACGTTCATTGAATAAAAAGTATTCAAGCTATAGTAAATTACCAAAATTTTTAAAAACAAAGCATTTTCAATATCACGCTATCAGACATCCTGCTCAATTACGCTCAAATAAAGAAACCGATAGTGAAGATAAATTCGAATTTAATGCATCTGAATTTGAATCACTAACAAAATATGCCAGTCGTGGAACGCAAACGAAATTGCATGCGATTTTATTACCTCAACGTTTATTGAGTGAAATGAGAAAGGCGAGAATAGAATCCCGAACAACCACCGCTGTTACACGATCGGTAAGTATTTTTTGTTAGCAAATAGAATTTCATCATACAAAATGATACTTAGACTCAAGTTGATACCATATCATATTTAATTAATTTGAAATTGAATCAACCTCCAAGTCATCGATCAAATCGTATTTGGGACCAACAGCAACTGCGACAATCGATTACATCATTTTTACACAATGAAATATTTTTAACAAATAATGATTCATTTCAAACCAGAGGAAAAAAACTGAGTTATTTTTCTACACAAACAGCAGATAACATCTCGAAGAAGAGCACAAATATTGAAAAAATCAAAAAATTATTAACATCGACTGAAACAGATACCTTCTATAAAGGTGGTATACCACTAGTTGAATTTGAAAACGGAGATATTGAGACAGGAGACAAAGACCAAGAAGTTTTACCACTACAAAAAGATCAATTATCAACAAACATCGAGGAGAATGAACAGGACATAATAACAATTAATGACCGTGAAAACAGCAAAACTGATGTAATAACTCCAGCACACCTACCATGGCGTATAATATCTTCGGAAACGCAACATTCACCATTATTCAACGAAAATCTGCTAGAGCTAGAAGAGACTAATCAATCATTAAAAAATCGTTTTGATTTTAACAAACAATCAAAAATCATTTGCAAAGATGTTGGTATTCGTGCACCAGAATCTTGTTTTACACATTTTTTTGATGATAAAGACAGTGAATTGGTTGCTGCTTCTAATAATCCCACTGAAAGTGAACATGGACAAGGAAGAACGAATAATGAGTATATGTCACCACTAAATCTTGAACTTGAATCAAGATCAATCTGGAAAAATAATCACGATACAAATCAAAAATGTGCAGGATCTCACTTTATTTACTACAATGATAATGAAACAGCCAGATTAGTGTCAGAAACCTACATAACTTTACCTGATGTAGTAACAAAGAAGGAATCAAATAACGTGAAACAAATGACAGATGAATTGTCAGTTTATAACCGTACAGATGATCTAATTTTACTAAACAATGCTCAAAATTTTAGTAGCAAGAACAAAGACAGACAGATACTAATGAGAAGGTAATAAACGCTGTTTCTACAATCAGTGTCGCGGTTATTCATACGATGAGCAGAGGAGTCTTCTTTTTCTGTTTTCTCAATAACAAAAGCATGCGATAATTACTGGAAAGTTTTGTCTCATCAAAATTACAGAACTGTGAATATTTCATTTTTCAGAGTTTAATGAAAACTCACTAAAAAAATTGAACTTCATCCAATACTATATACACAAATGATTTCCTAGAAACGCATTCTTAGAAGACACGTTCATTGTTGAAAAAAATCATATCCGGCTACTAAACAAGAAATGTCCACAGTGGACTAATGTCTGAGTTGTAATTTTTTAGATGGCCAACAGAGAAAAGTAATCACAACAACAAATATAGTATACAAAAGCCAAAGTTAAACTCGTCAATTAATTTTTTATCACCTAATCATATGATGATGTATGGGATAACGCAAAATAAATGTCTGGAACTAACTACTGATCATCGATGTCGTTTCAACCGTTGTCATCGTTGGCTGCATAGAAGTACATTACAATTAAGTAACAATAATGCTAAAAATGATGAAGAAACAGTTTTATCAACTAAACATTTGATTAGCAGTCAGTTAATTAGTGATGAATCTAATGAAAAATCATTTCAGACGTTGTTAATTAGTTCAGTAAATTCATTGGATAATTCGAGAAGACATGATGATGAATACAATGATATAAAGATGTTTACATCGACTGATTTCAATAAATTAAAATTAAACTTCGTTGCGACTAATAGTTCACAAAAAAATGCTGAACATGAACAACAACGTGATTCTGACAATGAAAGATTGATAATCGACGTCCCTGATCATCAAAACAACAAAAATAAAGAAGCGAATAGTTTTTCATCAGTTATATTGCATAGAAATCTGTTGAAAAACGCAGTGTTCAGCAGGAAAAAAAAGTCAAATGTCATTGTACAGCATATACGGCGGTCGCATCGACGTCGCGCTGTTCACAAACGAAAGATGATGTTATTGAGATCCAATCCAGATACTAAAATAGCATCATCATCAAAAGTGCTTCACTCAACAATACCATGCGCTCCATCTGTCTCAATATCATCAGAGTCGTCTGCATCAACAGTAGATGCACACTTTCAACCGTTATATAAACAAACACGTTCATCAACGACACAAACTGATCTTTTTATGCGTCCAAAACGTCAAGAACAATACCAATCACTATCAGCTACTCCAGTATTTCGCACAGTATTAGACGATGAAGATGATGACGATTCATCAACAGTATTTTCTGATCATTCTCAACAACAAGAACAATTAGAATTTACAAAAGAAATAAATTCTGCTATATTTAGCAAACCATTTCGGCAAAGTAAATCGACAATTTTCTTCGATTGTAAGGATCAAGCAAGAACACACGAACGACTATCAAACGACAAACAGCGGACTAATACACTAAATAAGACAATTGATTTAAAAAAAAATTCACCGTATCCTATGGATGCTAAGAGCCATATGGTGTTAGCCCGAGCACCCAAAAACACTGATATTTGTGAAGAATTGAAGTATATTTTAGGGCAAACATCATCAGCAACATCGGTTAATCTTGAAAAAAATCGATCGATTGATTCTCTTATTAAAAAACAGATTAATTGGGCATTTAATGGGTATCAATCGGTTGTTGTTTTATTTGATGACAAATATTCTCTACAACGTCAATCATTTTTAAACTATGTTTACAATTCAATTGAAAAAAATCTATTAAAATTAATTGATACAGCAAGTCAATCGCATGATAATTTACTATTGTCCTGTTCGAATTTAATGTTATTCAATAATTCTTTATATGATATCTATACATTACAGCGATTACGGCTTTTAGACACAGGTAAAAAAGTAATATTGTTACCCGATAATGAAAAATTAATAACAAATAGTAATGATATAAGACATTCTATAAATAAATTAAAAAGAGATATTGCATTTTCTCATCGTATTTATATAATTAATTTTCGTAAAAAAACATGTTTAAAATCATTCGGTTCATTTTTGTTTATGCAATTAGCACCAGTTCAATTATTATCAACCTATGCATTTAATCATAGTGGTGATTATCGAGGTCTTTTAACAAATATGAATGCAGCCACCTATTCTGTAATGAACACTATTCGTCAATTGATAAACGGAAAATTAAATGGAGATGATATTACCAAACGTTATTTGTTAAATGAATCATCATTAAATCGTCTCCTAAAAGATTATTTATTTCATCGACGACAAATAGTCAGTGTACTCACTGTCAAATCAAAAATAAAACATAATTCTTGTAGAATTCGAAAGAGACAATCACAAACATTAAACTTCAATAACAACAGTTTTTCTCGACTAAAATGTAATTGGAAACATTATCGTTCTCCTTCATCCAAATTACTTTCAATTTTTATGGAATCTCGTAACAGAAAATATGGTTTTTCTAAAATAAATTTGAAAGAAAAGTATTTCAGAGACATACACACATAACAACATTTTGCATAAACACCTCGCATATAGATGAGACGAATGAGAAACGACTCTAGCCATCAGATTTGTTCAGACGTGATGATTCTTTTTTTTACATTAGAGTTAGCTGTATGGATCTAGAATCTTTCTGTTTGTCTAGTGTCATATTCTAACTCTAATAGAATGACACAGATTATCGTTTACTCTATGCCATTAATGCGAGTGTGAAATTGATTTAAACTGCGAACTAAAATACCATTCAGTTCTCTCACTAACAAGTTCATTTATAACGTCATCGTTTCCCTCTCATTTTCTCTTAGGTCTACTCGGTTGCTGCTTCTCCTCATTTCTTATGTTAACAAAAAACTGTCCTCATTGTCAATAGACGAACGTTTTAGTCATCTTAGTTCTTCAGTTCCACAGTTTGAGTGATTTTTCGTGTAGAAGAGATACTTTATTCAATAGTACGGATATAATCTTGAGTTTATGTTTTTCTGTTTTTCGCATCCAAAAGTTCACACAACATTTCCCGTCTAGGCTAAAATAAAAGTCACGCTAACTACAGAAATATTTCATAAAATTCACAGAACATTGCTCTACAAGTTATGTTTGAGAAAACGCTATAGTTTCTTCACGTCTCTTTCTAACAGACAATTTTTTTTAATGCATTGATTGAATGGATCGCTAATTTACCGTAACCCGTTCGAAAACTCTAATCGAACGGCGGTCTCATGTTTATAGGTAACTTCAAGTTAATTTTTTGGAAAAGAATAGTCATCTTAATAATATATATTGAGAAAGAAATATAATATACTAATCTCTTTTTTTTGTATGCACCAAATTATTTTCCAAGATTGCACACTTAATTTGAATCAAATAGAATCATGAAAAGAGAAGAAAAAAAATGATTTGCTAGTGTTTTTTTCTTTTTGCAAAAAAAAAATGATGTCTATATATAATTATATATTGTAACGAGAAAAGTTCGATTATAAAAGAGATAATCATATATATCTTCGTGCAATCGAATCAGATCTTGGGGGTAATAAGATCCAGATATTGGATTAGAAATAATCGATTAAGATTAGGGTCAATAGACCTGGCATTACGGAAGTTGTATTAGTGTTCAGAAAAAAATTTACATGCATTGTCGATAATATGTTGATGTTACATTCTTAGAATTAATTGTTCATGTTTTTAAGGCATAGAATTACTTTCACTTTATATTTATATAGGGGAATTTTAACCTTAAAAAAGAAATTGGTTATACAGGTTTGTATTTTTATATTATTCTATAATTCTCGGAAATGCAATTATTCGATTAAGAGTCCGGTATCAATCATCGATGACATATAAGTCTCTAAAGGTATGACAAAATAAATAGTATCTTTTTGAATAAAAGTGTTCTCGTTGGTGGTAATTAGCCTAAACTACACAAATTCAATATAAAAAAGAATTTTCTACTATTCGACTAATTTTAGAATTTTTTTTTTTTTTTTTATTTGCCTAGTTGTAAAAACCAATACAAAAGATATGTTATTCTTCCTCCTCATTCACTTTTCAACAGATCTAATAAACATAAAACAATAATATAATGAAATAATATAATGATTCTATTTCATCATAATAATGTTAAATTGAGCAAAATAGTTTTTGTTTTCCTTTATATTTTTTTCTGTTGTGTCACCGGATATACATGTTTAGATTATATATTACTGATCTATGATAAGGAGAAAACAAAAGAGAGAAAAAAGAGAGTTATATTAAATCTAATCCTCTTATATCACAGATCCAAATTGAATAGTGTAAAAAACAAAGTGCCGTATATAAAAATGTTCTGCAAATAATAAAATCTGTACGTGTATGTATATCGTATAGATAGATTATAGGATATAATATTTATTTTTATTTTTATGATTGTAGAAACTTTTTTAATTGCTATTGATCCTTCACACACGAAATTTAATAGACCCAATTAGATAATAGAAAATAAGTCTTTATATTTATGCAATCGACTTCTCTTTAGAACTTCGCCTATCATTTATTATATTGTTTATATTAAATTAATAACGAAAAAGATCGTTGAACCATCAAAAAAGCAGGGACAAAATAAAATGGCAGTGCTAAAACATTCAGATCATGCTTTTTATGAAAAAATATAAAATATATTCAATTTATTCATCATTTTCTCAGATTACGGAAAAGTGTATTCTCTATTTGAAGTATATATGTTTGAGATTTTGTTAAATATCAAAAATTAATGTATGCGTAAGAAAACGACAGTAATTCAACATGCCAAATCGCTTTTATAATACAAAATAAAACTCGGACAACTTCTTTATCTTCCCCAGAATAAAAACGTATGTTTTCTCTTGAAATATATGGATGAATTTAAAAAATCAGTTAGCTCAAATTATTAACTATGAAACTTTACTAATTATTATTGCAAATCGGCGTGGCCAGCTAACTCTGCTACCGTAAAGGGCTGCTTTATAAAGAAAATATGGGCAAACTTTGCAGAATGGAAAATTAGTTGCTCATATTTCTATCAGATCTTTAAAACGAGACATGTTTTGAAAAGTTCATAACAGTTTTTTCTTCAATTTAAGACGTGTTGCAGCTGTCTGCATCGTTTGGTTTACGATTTGTCAACAAAACAAAATGATGAAAAAACGTTGCGAAATTTCTTTACGATAGCAGAGTTAGCTGGCCGCGCCGAAATAGTTAGTTTTTACCAATAATAGATGCTAGAAATGGAATAGTTTTCTTATATTCTGAACATGAATTTATTCTATCATCTTTCATCAACTGCATTTCTTCTTCACACTCTATCTTTATTATATTTCTTTTATAAATACAAAGTTTCTCTCTATCTTCTAATTACGACTAACGGTCTTGGTTTCAGAGATAGAGAGATATTTCTTGATTTAGTAGCAATAATGTTTTGAAAAATCCATTCGATAATAGATGGAGAAAAAAAGAAAAAAAAGTGAAGAGAGAGGAAAACACAACAATCGACTATTTAGAAAAATATCCAAATTGATCCTCGACTATATTCGTTATATTCACAGAAACCTTGTGACACGTCTCTCTCGTTCAGTAGTAATAAAATACGCCTTTTAACACCAACTCATATAAATATCGATACACCTAACATCCTGTTGCCTTTAATTCAATTTCTTACAGATTAAATAATTCCCCTTCAGAATAACAACATTATTCAATAAAAATATGAAATACAGTAGTGGCTATACGTTAAAATTTGTAGCAATTACAATTAGTAAGTGAATTGACTGCCATTATCTAAACCATATAAAATCTAGAATGCTTCTGAATCTTATAAGAAAGATAAGATGTCTATTATCAGAAGCAAGCAATAGATTGAACTAATTATTTTGATGTACGTGTTAAGAAAATTATTCGATAAAAGGCTGCAATATATACTCAAAAAACAAAAATGCGACTTAGAATCAAGTTTAGTCATATTAATGTGTCTTCTTATGACTAAACTTGATTCTAAGTCGCATGTTTTTTAGAGTGGAAACCGAAATGTTTATTAGCGTCAATATCAGAACAATTGTACTTATCTTATTAGCAGTTTTGACAGCTCAATAGGGTGGCTAATACTACGTAAATCGAGTACATCGATTTGCTGCTCTCTCTCTCTCTCGCCATAAAATCTTTTTGGTGATCTTTTTCTAAGAGGAGCGGATTGAAGCTATAGTTTGTTCTTGCTAAAGGTAATCCTCTCTTCACTCATTTTTCAGAAATTTATCACTTTTGTATAAAACATGTGCTAATATCAAGTTGAGTATAGGTTACAGTACGAGACTGCTCCCACCTTTTCAAAAGTCTTGCTTGAAAAGGCATAAGTTTTTTTCACGTAATAAAGAAACTAAGTATTACTCACATTAGCGTCGCTGAGTAGTTTAAGTAGGTTTTTATCATCGATTTTTCGTGTACTTCAGCGTTCACTTAATTGCCTTTACATGTACGTAGCTCAATCGTTGTGTGGATTTCGTTTAGAATCATCTGTACGAAGAAGCGAACATGACAGGCATTCTTAAAATTTTGATCTGCATGCGCTTTTCTGTCGGACAAAAATCTCAAGTATAACTATGAACTTTGTCATAAGCAGTGAAATATTAGGCTTTTCTATAATGTTGTTCTAAGTACAGACAATATTTTCTGACTAGTTTTTGGAATTTCTAAATTTTCTAAATCTACAAAAAGAAAATTAATTGAAGAGTAATTAATTGATTGAAGGGTAATTCTCGAAAAATGAAATCCAACGATACGTCCTCAGCTTGTCTTGTTCTTTGTCGAACAACTTTTCACAATAAGCAAGATCGTACAAGAATCGTCTAGTTATTTTGCATGAGATTCGAGAAAGAAGAAAACTGTCATTTTGGATGTACCACACGTACTGAATTCTACTTTTATCAGTTTTGATCTATCTGTACAGTTTTTTAGGAGGAGTAATACAGTATTGAAGTAATCGTACTTCGTTTTACAGGCTGCAAAACGGTTCTTCGAAGTCTCATGTGAAAATGACCAGAAAAACCTTACTTTGCTTTACGGAAAAGAAAACTTTACTGTTTGATCGAATTGTTTTTTGCTATTCAGCAAAGTAAAGCGTTTCTTGAGCAATTTACTCTTTTATGCAAAGTTAATAATAATGCTGATATCAATTGAAACTATCCTTTTTCTTATTTTCTATTTAGTTCTATTATGGTGTACCGTACGATTTTCGTTTTGTATGACACAAATAGACGATTATGAACATTCATCGGCTTTAGGAAGTGAAAACAACGATGAACTAAACGATGACATTGATCCAAACTCATTCATTGATTTATATCGTCGAGCATCATTACGTCATCATCAGTTATACAAAAAAGCTAGTCTAAGACCGGTCATTGTTCAGCGTGCATCATTGCGACCATCGTTCGGAAAACGAGCAAGCCTAAGACCAATTTTTATGGGAAAACGAAAACGAAGAAGTATTCAGTCTTATCTAGATGATGAATAAAGAAAAATGTGTTTGATAATAAACGACATCAAAAAAGAGCATGATCTATTTTTTTATGACGCAAAGTCACTTTTTTAGTATGAACAGGAGTTGGATTCATAAACAGATGACTTGTTTGACGTTTTCGTGTAGTCTATTATAAGTGTTGACTTTACACAAATTTCTACGAAATGATTCTTTGTTAAGTAGAGATGTGATAAAATCGACATCTATTGTTCATACTTGTACTCTGTTTATTGATAAAATAAAACGGTGAATTTCCTCTGAATTTCATGTTTTACTATCGCCCCATTAATGCTTCCATCACAAATCCGAACGAGGTAAGTTTTATTCTTAAAAAACAGTAACACATTTTAAAGGAAAGAGGTACCGTCCACGAAGCTATCAAGCATCAACTGAGCTACAACAATACGAACCTACGACGTTTGTTATCAATAAAATATCAGTGAAAATGAGTGGTGTTAGGGTTAAAAGTTATATTCAATTCTCATAATTATTGATACAAGCAAAAATTGCAAAACGTGCTGAACATTAGAGGAAGCGAATAGAAACTTCGCTGTACGTAAGAAAGCAAGCCTAGCTCTAACGGACAAGCAAGATTGTTGATTTAATTTGCTTAAACTACGGACAACATAATGCCATATAAGACCATATGATAATGACATTGAAAGTAGCGTCGTCAAGCTTTCATTCTCTCATAACACGAACGACGTTAAAAAACAGCAATCTTGAGCAATCTTTGAGCAATTTTGAGGCTCTCAAATGCAATATATACTACACTGAGAAATGTCAATCTTTTTTTGGAAAGTTGGAGAGTTGCTGTATCTAAGTAACGTGAAAAATTGGATTATCCAATGTTCTATTGTTGAACATATCGGCATGCTTGTCTTACACTTCTGTACCATTTCCAAGGGGGAAACAGCTGATTTTTGGATTTTTCCGATTTTCATCGATTTTCACCAAATGAAAAGTCACCGGAAATGACTGGAAGTCATTGAAAATCACAGAGAATTACAGAGAATCAGTGAAAATCAATGAGAAGCAATTGATTTTGAGTGATTTTCGACTTATTTTGGGCTGATTTTAGTCTGCTGTTTCCCCCTTGACAATTTCACTCTAGCCACAACTTTAAAAAAACTATGTATGAGTTCTTCAGTTAGATAAGATTCACTCCGATTCCATTTGAGAAAAGGTTGTTCGCTTTTCAGCATCATTTTTTTATACAATCATTTTACCTTGCATTCTTGTATCAAAAGCTTTGGCGACGTTTTGCGTATGAACCATCTCATATGAATACAGCAAGTTGGCATGAAAATCAAGATTTGGTGAAAATACCTCAAAGATAATGCCTACTTTCTTTTTAAGAAATCATATTTAGAAAGCAAAACAAACATATAAATGAATGGCAGCGTCCATTTTATCATAAAACAGCAGCTGAATGTCTACAGCAAAAAAACAGTTACCACTTGTACATATTTTAACTTCAAAATCATCTGAAGATGATGAACAGGTAGTGAACGGTTACTTTCAATTTATAGTTTATGAAACCTCTTTATGATTTCTTTTAAGGAGGGTCGAAACGAACCGTTCAATTATGAAAAGGCAATTAAATTTCTCACGGATCCACATTCGGTAATAATTCACAGGTGCTTCATGTTTGTAGTCTTATCATCTATGTCATTTATTCAGTAATGTTGAAATATTTTTAGACTCATCTAATTAATCGTCATATTCGTGTTTGTCAGAAACTGTGTCAACATCACAGAAATGGATATGTATCTTTTTTAAAAGTTTCAATATCACACTTTTAGTTATGTACTCATCTAACTTAGTGATTTTTCTTGACGTTCAAAATGTGTTTAGATTCTAAAAGACATTCATTATTTAATGAAATTATTTAATGTACTAGCAGAAAAATGCCAAGATCAACCGTTGTACGTCGACCCATTGTGTATGATAATTCAACTTTGTTCAAAACCATTTCTTTTGGATAAATCAACAGACAGCAATATTTATGAGACTCCGTTAGCAGCATTTTATTCAGATTTTGGTATGTAAAACATGTGTTATTGCTTATCAATATTAGTTGAGTTCGCCTATGGCACTATCTAAACATACATTATGAAATGAATGAATGACTTTTAACAGCAGATGAAAAAAAGTACATAAACTTAATTCTTGCATAAGATAAAGAACAGACATATCAGATTTTACTTTTGTGGTACTTTCCAGATGCTGTGACAAACCATCCATTTATTAAATTTGTTGTCTTTCAGGATATCTATTGAGAATTCCAATTAAACGTGTTCAGCAGTGTATCTTTGATACATTATATCAATCAATTCGAACAAATAAAGCAAAAGGAGAAGAGCAGCAATCTTCTACAAAATCATACGACAAAATGAGACCAACAACACCGGACTACATTCTCAAGATTCAAAGAACAAGTGACCTTTGTGAAACTCTTGTTAAAGTAAGCTGTTTTTTAATGAAAAATATACAAATATACTTTCTATCTGTTTTATATTTAGACAATAGCTTTAGTGGAGAACGATTTAAGTTTACGAATACAAATATTAAAATTATTACAAATATTATCGAATAAAACAGGTATTGTTTCTTCTGAACGATCGTAGAACTAATGGCATCTAATTCCAATTTACGCCTGTGTTTGTTTATTTAAAGCTGATTGTGTAACTAGAATGTTATATAATGACTGTGTAAATCGTCTTATATCAGGAATGAATGATTCAGATCCATCTGGAGAGTATGTTACTAATTTTGAAAGTGATCATTCAAAGTTACTAACAACTTCTGTTTGTTTAGATTATTATTTCGCACAATCGAATTATTGTGGAACATGTTAGAATATGGTGACGTAGAAGTGATTAGCGATCAATTAGATTCGAGAGTAACCATAAAGTAAATGTAGAACGTGTTTATCCATCAAATAATGATAAATATTCCATTAATCATAGTCATTTGCAAGAAGCTTTTCTTGCTGAAGTAACACAAAGTTACAGTCATTATCATCGTCAATGCCGGTATGTATGAATACTTTAATGAATATTTTATTGTCATTCTATTTTACATTTAGAAATGATATATTAGTTGTTTGTTCTCTAATTATAAGTATGAAACCCGATGCTCCATTCGTCGAAACTTCGTTTGCCAAACAACTTTTACTATTTACATCTTATCCAGAATGTCAGTCTGCTGCTACTAAACTATAAAATTTCAATCTTATCTTACGCATTATTTTCTAGTAAGAAGTAATAATCCATTAGTGAAAAATTTTAAACTAACATCATCTCAAGAAGATTTTGAATTCAAAAAACTATTGTTTAATGCAGTTGTTATTCTAAGTAGAAATTCCGCAGTGAATGAGGTATGTGTTTAGTACAATTTATACTAGTTTATTAAATGATTAACTAATTCTACCATTTGTAGTTGATGATTGAAAGTCGTGTATTATTAGCATTTTTATCTTATGTTGAACCTCTTCCTCGTACAATACAAAATAGTATCAAATGGACATCATCTCAACTTGAAGAACTTCAACTACATGCCTTAGCAGCACTATGTACACTATTACCACGTTCAATAGAAGAATATTTTGAATATCATGTTGGAACACGTTTATTACTGTTCTATGAATGGTGTATTAATGACAAAGGTATATGATAATAAATATAAATTTAATTAAAATAAACGCGATAGACTATTTTCTCTAATAGATGATTATCAAAGTCAAGGAAACAGTTTTTTTGGTAAAGGTGGAAGAAATAGTAAACGTTCACAATTACGTTATGTATTAAGATTATTTCGAAGTCTTGTTACTACACGTGAAGATCGTGTACATCAAGATTTAAGTGATCAAGGAATTATAGTATCACTCACCGGCTACTTACAGAAAATTTTTCAACAAGAAGTAACAAATATCGACTATGTTAGTTTAGATGCTATTTGTGATACATTATTCATATTAAGTTCATTATGTGAATTGGATATTCACAGAAAAGTAAAAAATATTAACTAAATACGCATATTGATAAATGACCAGTTTTTTTTTATTAGGAAATATTTGGTTATGAAGGTATTGACATGCTTATACGAATAGAATTAATTGATTCATTATTGATATGTGGTGGTCTTGGTTATCATAGATTATTGGTAGGTGCAATTGATTGTGTCTGGTGTTGTATTGTTGGCAGTGTGATTAACGAAGATGAATTTATTCAAAAACAAGGCATATTTGCATTACTTGATTTAATTGAGGTGATTCAATTATTATCATCATATATTAGCTAAACCTTACTTTGTTTGTGCTTTATTTGTTAGAAAACTCCAAAATCATTACAAAACCTAATTTTAGGTTGTATACTGGATTTAACCGAAAACGTGAAATGTCTTCATTTCATAATGACATGGGAAGGACAAAACCAACAACAATTTCCTCATTTATTATGTGAATTATGGAGAGATGAAGAGAGAGAAATATGCGTAAATACTTCGTTAGATCCGTGTCCATACTAAGTTTAATTATAATCTTTTTAAAGGTTTCAAGAACAAACAAGGGCGTAATTAGCGACCATCAAAAACCATTAATGGGTGTATTGCAACAATCTCAAGAAATAGTACCGATACCAACATGGGAACCATCGAGATCTGTTATTGATCTCATTGATAATATGAGAACAAAAATATATGGATTTTTCTGTAAACTAGGTTAGTTTCGCAAGTTCTCTTAATTGGGTTTAATCTTAAATAAAATTTCTAAACTTAAGGCTTTAATGAATTACCTGGATTAGCCGAAGAAGATTTTGTTACATTGTGTATTATTGAAAATTTTCTGGATTTTAAAATGGGTGAAGTATGGCAAGAAATTATTACAGAACTGAAAATTGAAGGTGTCCAATTAATATCGTCTGATCGCGAAGCAACCGATACTATATTGCGTGCAACAGATGAACGTGGCCTAGGTAAATGACAAAATACATTTTGAAGTTTTTTTCTTCTTACCTTATTTTTTTTATGTTCAGCTGTTGCAGCCACACAAAACTATATCATAGGGCAATATCATAAACAAGACTTGCTACAAGAAAAAGCATTTTATGAAGAGGTTAATTAGATCTATAAAATACGGAAATTTTAAATAGTCTTGTTCCTTTCATCATTTTTCAGTTAACAAAAAATAATGCGTATAAAGAAAAGCGATTGGAAGATTGGAAATCGTTTGTGGCACGAACGTCAAAATATCCGTTGCTAATGGTATAGTTACTCCAAATAAATACGCAAGTAGCTGGTGACAGTAATGAGCTCTTCCCATCTTTTATAGGCCGCAAAAGATTATCAAAATCAAGCCATACGTCAATCAAGGCCAGAAGAGAAAGAAATGAACACATACCATACCGTTCATAATTTAGAAATACCAAATTTAGCTGTTACAGTACGTATAACGATTAAAATCAGAGATTGCATTATCAAATCATTTCAATTGGTTATACTTCGGCTGAAGTTTGTACTGAGAAATGCCTACTGCGTACTCTCTTATATCGGTCAACGTACATCTTTCGTGTATCACGCGAAATATACCACTCTAACCTGTTACTTCATCTGTGTTATGAGTAAACCAAAATATTCTTAAATGTACTAACAAAATATAACCATTTTTAGGCATTTACCGGTTCCCGCCTTGTAATTGATAGTACACCCGTAAATGTTATTGGAAAACACCGACATCAGAATACTACTATAGATACTGCATGATCAACCAGACAAAGTTATTATCTAAAGATAAATTTTAAAATTTGACTTCCAGTTTTGTAATTTTATTTTTATGTGTCTCGTGTACAAAGCATGTGCCTTCTATTAGTGCTTTTCGGGTTCTTTTTCGCTGCACAGCAGAATGTTTTATATTGTTTTTACTCTTGGAGTACTTGATCAAGATCAAAACATCTCATCAGCGTTAGTAGATGAGTAATACCGATCATGTTTAAGCCTTTTTTGGCATTATATAAGAAATGCACGTCTGGAAACCACAACCTCTTCGTGCCAGGTGATTGTTATATGCTTTTGTTCAAATATGTGCGGTTTGCGCGCTAAGTCTCTTGCTTTACTGCCAATCCATGTGAAAAAATAAACTTGTTCTAAAGACATAAATCCTCTACATCGCAAAATCATCTCTTGCTAGGAATGAAGCATTTTCGGTCGACTCTAAATTCTCACTATTGTTCGTTCAAAAAAAGAATGGATACAGCCACTTTTTTTGGGATTTTGATAGAAAGTAACAAGAGAGCTGCTTTTGCGCCATTCAATAGAGCAGAGTTTAAAGCATCTTTTCAACAATAGATATCACTTTAAAAATACGTAAGTGGGCGTACTGTTGTCCAGTAAAATAATAATGACGATCGTCGTCAAGCAGCTAAAATATCGTCGTGTAATATCGATAGTATTAATTCACAATTTTTTTCATTCTGACCATGAATATTATTTCGTGATTGATCTCATGAAAAGATATTTATGGGTAGAAGAAAAATTACAGGGAATGATATTCGATGAGAACTATCTTTGAAAATTGAAATTAAAACCAGCAAGTAGGCAATCTATAATGAACTAAAAAATAGAACTATCAACATGTTTGAAAGTACGGAAAACAGTGACAACTGTGACCCAATACGAAAGCGACGAATGTCTGTTAATATCGACGAAAACATGTCTTGCGCATTGATCGTCACCAGAATTAGTTTAAATGACTGTCGAGTAATGTTGATCCACATATGGCTCTCAAAATTTTTGTTTTGGCTTGACCCCACAAGCATTCGATAAATTGTATGTGACAGCCAGTGTGCGCATCAACAAAATTTTGACTGTGGTTGACCTACAATTTAATTTAGATGCTCATAAAGTTTTGAAAGTCGCTGTGGTTTACTTACCGTTTCATGGTCATAGCCATACTGTGTTTGTAAGTTTTTATATGCATTCGATCATACGGTTGTTCCAGGTACGACATGCTTGAGTATAATCGGAACTAATGCTGCACGATTACGACGTTGTACATGGAAAAATCTAACTTCATATCCATTTTCTGTCAGTTGAGCAATTCCAAATATCGATGGACCTGAAATACTGAAGCTAATTAGTGCAGATCTAACTGGAACACAGTTATAACCACCGGCTCATTCCTTTTCCATAGTTTCAGAAAATTTGCGGGCTGATCCCATCACTGCCACTACTACTATCACTGTCACTACTGGATTCTATCGTACTAGTCCGTTCGTTGTGTTGTTGTTCCTCTTATTAATGTTACCGAGTAGTAACTTACCACGATTATACTTACATTTAGCCCGAAACAGTGATTCGTCAATCTGCACCACTTCACCAAAACCACCCATTTGTGGAGCTACATTCAGTTTTTCTGTGCAAACCTTAAAGAATGAACAATTTTTCTTATGCGAATATCCCCTGGTGAGAAACTTAGTCGAATCTTACTAAGATCTTAGTAAGACTTCGCCTACATTTGTCTAAGATCGTGTGACTCGAAAATTTTAAGATTTAATAAGATTTTTCTAAGATCTTACTAAGATTCTACTAAGATTTTTTCAAGGTTGGATAAGAATCTGTAGAATCTTAATAGTAAGAATGATGACATTTTTAAATAGTATTCATTCGAGATTTGCTAGAATTCTTGAATTTTTAATCTGCATTATCCAAAGCAGTAGTTGAACAGCGTTGAAGAATGACGAGAAATTTCATATTTTCGGGTGTCCGCTATGGACCTTGACCGGCATACACACTCTCTAAAAAGTTGCTGAGCACTTTCGAGAGAGCAAGTACTAGCAGAAAAGTGTCATGAAGCGTCAGAAAAAAGTCATTCACTCATATTTTCGGTGTTAGTTATATAGATGAATGAGAGCAAAACAAAGGGTGAATAAAAGTAGAGTCATTAAATCTTATTAAGATCTTAAACGATAAGATCTTAGGTTATCTTATCAAAAGCTTAAAGGATAAGACCTTATAAGATCTTTGTAAGGTAATTTTAAGAAGTGTTTAAGATTTTAACTAGGGTAGTATAGACCCGACAGCAAGCTTCTTTTGATTTAGTCTTAAACCCTTTTGATAAATTTTCACATTAAAAACATTAAAAATGTTATGAACAATTGTTTCTGTACTGCTGGGGGGCACCAGCTTTAATATCACCACGTTTTGGGGAAGCATCTGCTAAAAGAATACCGGTCGTGTGTGTGTTGAAAGGGTTATGCATCATAACTGATATAACTATTTGCATAAGAATTCTGGCACTGTATGTAAACCTGTGAAGGAGTAGGAAATTTTTGTTTTTGTCTTAACTTGCTATTTTTGGTTCAAAATGCTTCTGTTGATAGTTAATATTGAAAGGTGGATACTGTGGTATGCTGAGCATATACAGCTCATAGTTTTCATAACAATGCTTATTATCGACGTAGTCTTTTAATGCGACTTTTAAGGAGAGCGGCGTACACCGCTACGTAGCATAGTCCATTGGCGCCCTCTTGAATGTACTTGAATTATGGACATTTCTTATATTTTAGATGAATAGAATTTCCGATCTTGTAAGAACTCTGAATGTTTTAAATTTTGTGAAAGAGCATTGACAATATTGGTCCCACTAGCACTTAGTAACGAAAGATTATTACCATAAAAATGTCTGCTGGCTACAAATACTCTCAAATGAATTCAAAAAACATCACTTAGAAGACGAGAATCTTTTTATTAAACTTGTTTTCCAAAATATTTGAAGTTCTATATCGAGGATATGTAGCAATACAATCAGAAAAAATTATTCATCATGTTGTTTTTTTCTTCTTTTAAGATTTGATATTACAGCCATGTCAAACGGCTATTCTGCATTGTCAAAACCCTTGAAGCCACGTTCTGAGGTAGACGTACACAGTTTATTTCCGACATTGGAGCAAAAACCTCGTTCAAAATATAATGTACCAGATTGGTTTTCACACAATTATGCGATATCGTATGATGCTGAGCGAAGCAGAAATGTCAGCCATCAAGTTCGTCAAGATGGTCGTCGACTTGCTAATGAAACGTACAATGAAAGTTGGTGGGGAAAACATGACAATGATATTCGTATAAGTGATCGTTTAGATGAAATTGATAAATGGAGAAAAATATTAGAGTATACTATTCAAGATGTTGATCGAGAAATTCAAGCGATATCATCGGCGAAAGAACAATGTGAACGTTATTTAGAACATATGAAAAGTCCATTGGATATAACACTAGAAAATCATGTCACACGCGATGGACGAAAACATATTGATAATGTCGATGATGAATGTGAAAGAGAATTAAAAAAGGTATATATTTCAATTACTGATAACGCACATGTTGCACAAATTATCCGAGAAACTGGTACCTGCCTTATGAAAACAGAAAAAACCTTTAAAGGAGAATACTGCCTATTCGTTGTTCGAGAATGGGTATTATTTTACTTTATTTAATTATATTTGAATAGGAAGTGTATGTTATTGATGGTATTAAACGACAACTTCATCAACAAGTACAAACAGCATTTGATCAAATAGCTCGTTTGACCGAGGCTAAACAACAATTAATACGCGATCTACAAGATAAACATACAGCATTTGCTATTTGTGAAGAAAATTTACAATTAAATGAATTTTCACCAAACATCAGTTATAAACCCGATCCATGTCGACCGATCAAAGGGTATGTTATTTTTCTTAAATTGATTTTGTCCTTATTGTACTTATTGTAGGCAAATAACACCTGAGGAATGGCTTAGTTTCTCGAAATACAACAAAGATCGTGCGGAAAAAGAAAGTAAGAGAATCTATATACAAGAGAATCCATAAAGTGTTTCACTATCGTTTTCGTAAACATTAGTGTATGAATCTGTACGGTTACGTGAAAGTATATTTCACACAATGGGACAATCAGCTGCTGATTTAGAATCTCAAGGAAAAGCAAGTGAATATGCGTTAAGAAAACGTCTACATGAAGTTGAACGATCATTGGGTGAGCTCGAATGGCAGAAGAAACAAGTAAGTTTCATGATCAATTTTGAACAAAGTTATAAAAAAATGTATCGCGGTATCTTTCTTTATTCAGACAGAAGAAGAAATTGTCAGCGCCGAAAATGATATTGATCGACTTGAGAAAGCCATACGAGGTTTGTCTTCTTTCACAGCATTTATCGAACGATTGCTAAACTCATATTCTATCTTTAGACAAAGAGCCATTAATCAAACTGGGTATGTAAATTCTCACATAGTTCACAGCACGGAACCACGATGTCGTTTTTTTCTTCAATTGAAGCCATGTCACGACAAGAAAATCGTCATTCTCGACCTGGTATGGATTTAGTACGTGATGAAGTTTCATACGGTTTATGTGATGAGATTCAGCAATTAAAAGTGAGAAAACTGCTCTTCTCAAACGTACAACAGTTGAAACATTGTCTGATATATTTTAGGCTGAAAAACGTGCTTTGGAAGATCAACTTAAACAGTCAAAGTAATATTCTACTTCTATATTTGACAAATATTTAAGAAAGTCGCATTTTCTCTTGATTCAAAAATAATCAGTTTTCCGCTTACCATCCCTACGTTATAACTGTCTCTATTTACCCAAAAGTCTGACAAGTTTTTTAAAAACCGACTTAGTTAGGAGAAGTCTCATAAAAGTCAGACAATGGCACCTAAAAAACTAAAAGAGATGATATTTTCACAACAAATAATTATGTTTTTCTTATCAGGCATGCTTGGAATATTCTTCAACAACAACTGCATCGAATTGATGATGAAATTGCTGTTAAAAGTAATTCAGTGATGTTAGAACGTCGTGCATTAGAAACACGTCGTCGTTTAAATACCGACATCGCGCCAATGACCGAAACAGATCGAAATAAATCGTTGTATAACATGGACAATAGTGGTCTGCGACAAATTTTACAATCAACATATTAATTTCAATAGAAATTAAGACATGTTATTCTATTTTATCATAAAAAGTCCACAATAATAATGTGCACAACTTTGTTTTTCCAACACTCGTACACAAACTCATATCATCGTTTTATTTTCATATGGAAATCTTATTTATTAACAGTGAACAGCTCAATTTTGTTTTTCTCTCTCTATTTTGGTTCTCAATCATAGTATTTTTTAATGATAAATTAAAAATGGTCTAAGTAAGCCATTTTTACATATTTATTTCCATGAACAAACAAAAACAAATCATATGAAAATCTAATACGTCTTCTTTGTCGTCAATTTCGTATCCTTGTATTCCTTGTACTGATGAACATAAAATATGAGTAAACTACTCATAAATAAAAGACAAGAGTAGGCACTTATTAATACTGTCCAAAGATCTGGATAACGCTTTGGAGGTTTGACATATATCTGACTTAACATCAGCGGTATACTTGACATGATAGAGACAATAGACTAAAATATAAGATAAATCATTATAAAAAACGATAATAGTACACACAGTAATTCGACTAACTTACAAAGCAAACTTCAATTGATGATACTTGATTCGCATGAATATATAAACGTTGAAGTGTAAAAATAAAAAAGAGTATAAATGTCGTCCAAAATATTATAACGAGATTATCTTTGAGCATCAACGGGAATATACTACAAATAAGAAAAAATAGGTTCGGAAAACTTCAGTTTTTAAAACAAGAACAACCGTATACCTAATCAGCGCAAAATTCAAAAACGTAAAACATTCCACCGGATATGTACCACATAGAATCATTATAGGCCTAGAATACAACAACATACACTTTGTCTGAAATTATTCAATACTATCATTAGAACTATTAGTTTTTTCTATTAAGCAGCGGATGGTTCACATCAACATTTCGTCTTGCTATCAAAGAGAGTGATCGCTCCTGTCAAAAAGATTATCAGCAAAAAAGCGAAGTAGAAAATGATTGTGAGTAGGTAATTGTCGGTATCGGTACTTGTGTGGTCCCGGTACCAACCATTGGAACTGTATCGGTACCAACTCGTCAGTACCAATACCGAAAGTACCGAAGTTTTATTCATTATCTGAATTTATTTTTGAACTCACAAGCTTTTTTCTCCTTAAATCGCGAAGATTCTCATTCCTTCATTTTTTTCGTAGGTATCGAACTTTTCGGTACTTTCCTTGGTACCGACCCGAAATTTTCGGTACTGCGCGAAAACACTATCGGTACCGACAATTTTCTAATTGTAAAGTCAAAAATTTTTCAGTCAATCTTTCAACGAATAAGCATGGATATAATTAACACTCACAAACATGGTAATAAAATTGTTTTCTCGTGTACTTGAAATGAAAACAAGTAGAAACACATTGAAACATTGAACTAAAAATAAAAGAAATAGAAAAAGTAGTCTTCAAAGTCTGTTGATATTTTATTTACTAGACTGAGATAAAAGCTTTTGACTGTTGGTTTGTAGAATAACATAATACTCGATGGAATAATAGAAATGGATGTAGTAACAAGACTATAAGAAAAATGATGACTGTAAATAATGAAAATGAATGATCAAAAACGAACCATAATTTTGTTAAAAATTGAGTAGAAAATTTTAAATTCAATTTGATAATTAAATTCAATGTGCACCAAAAATTGGCAACTTTATCCTATAATGAGAACAAATTCACATCTATTTTGCTATTGTCAAAACAGCGTAGCATTTTTATTCTAATATGTTTACCTCGTACAGTCCACGTTGAAATGGAAAAAGTCGTTTCAGAACAGCAATTGGATCATTTTTCAAAAATGGAAGCCATATTAGAATAAATGAAATCAAAACGGTAACTGCCAAAGAGAAAAAATGTTTCCAGCTAAGAGAAAAGAAAAAAAATAAGATTACTACAAAAATGAATGACTTAAAATCACCAAAATTTTTTTTGTTGAAAACAATGTGATAGTAAATAGACAAATATCGGTACAGCATGATAAAGTTCCATTTGTTTATAGTTAAGAGCTAATGTAAATGCAATCGATGAAAATATATGTCTTTCGCGTGTTGCCAAAATAAAGGCTAACAACGCAAAACCTAAGCTTATGGAATTGTACCGAGTTCGAGTAAAGGAAAATATTCTCGAAATATAAAACTACTAGCAAAATATCATACTCATAAAGGATACTGAAAATGTCCATGATCAATCAAATATAATAGTGGACAAAATAATAATGTCATTAATGTTGTAATCTAAAACGTAAATAGATTGAATAAAATTCTATCATCTAGTATTCGACTTTCGTTTTACTTTTTTTGTCACTATATTATTCAAAATATCATTATAGTATGTATAAAAGACAACTGGATAATAAATCAAAATATCAGCGATAAATACTGAAAATAAATATCGATCGAAAATATCAATTGACATGTTTATTTTTTCTCTCCATACCTGTGTATCTCATGAATAATTTATGTTCACTGCTTTCGTGTCCTCGGGATTCATTCAATTTACACCATGATGGATTCAACATATTTGAACTAAAACAAAAATATTATTTCTTCTGAGTTCTATTTGAAATTTTTTCTTCAACGTACACTAAACCACATAAGTACGCATGATAAGCTGTCAATGGTGGATAATCTAATCCCCAATATGATAAATTGTTCATTGTAGAATTTTGATACCTATTGTCCAATAAAAAAAACATTTAGCAAATAAATATAGCAATAGAAATCTGTTTTAATTACCATTCATTTGGTTCCATATTCACCGTAATTTCCATCCAGTGACGTTGAGCTTCAAAATCACCAAACATTGGGCCTTTTTTCTGCCCTAAAATTAAAAACATCAAAAAACATTAAATAAACGACTTCAACATAAATTACGAGAAATTATCGTAATTTATTTACCAGAATAAGGGTGTCGAGATACCATCCAACGTAAGCCAATCGCCGATGATAACAGTCCAATTAAGAGCAAACAATGCATCTCGTATCTAATATGAAAAAATTGAAAATGAAAGAAACTCAACTTGTCCATACTTCAACATACACTGAAACTTCAATGATTACCTACAGTCTAGCATTTTAAAGTTAACATACAATATCATTCAAATGGCCAATGCATCTCAAAGAACTTTTCGATTTTTTCTACTCATTTATGCTTTTTTTTGTAAATAGTTACAAATAACAAGTTGCCAGTGGCCGAACACGTTTCAAGCAAAGTGTTATTCTTTCTCTGTACCAAAAAACATCCAGAAATAGTGTACGAAAAACATTATTCCAATTTGTATTTTTCATTCAATTTTTTTCACTATATACAGTTTAAAAATATAGCATTCAATTTCTTAGACAAACGTACACAAACGAAAAATAGAATAGTCACACTTAATTTTCACAAAATATAATTATCATTTAGTTGATCTGACAAAATAGCGATTGAGATAGGAAAAAAATAACTTCAAATGAATATAAACACAGAAGGAAGGTAAATATCTGACGAAAGATCTTGAATATCTGATTGTAACAAGGAAAAAAGCATGAAATAGAAAAAGAACTAAGAGTACGAGTTGTGTTTATAAAAAAACGTGGGTATTATCAGAATTACTACAAACTAACTCCTCACAAGAAAAGGCAGAGAAAAACTAAAACTCTGTTTTCTCGTTTCTCTTCCACTAGAAACAAAAACACCAATGGATAGAAAGAAACGAACAGCTAAAAATTGACATTAAAATCAAATATTCTAATCTTCTTCTTCACTTTCGGTGAGATCAACTTGGTGTTGTTCGTCCTCATCCTCTTCATCCCCATCCTCATCAACATCATTCGCTGAAAAAAAATAATGAATCATTTAACTCAAAGCAAATGATAATGTTAAGATAAGAATCAACATTTCTCAGTTTTAAATAATTTGAATGAAGGAAGATTGAGAGACATTTTCACTTTTCGGCAAGCATATGGTACAAATAATCTGGATAAAAACTATAGTTGAAACTTCCATTTATTTGGTTCTGATTATCCTTCTTCTTACCATTCTACTTCTGTGGGTTCCACTGACTATTCTCCGATCTCACTATTTTGTTAAAACAGAAAACTTACTGTCATCATCGTCTTGTTGTTGTTGATGTTCATTATTATCATCATTCTCTTCCTCATCATTGGATCCATTTTCGTCAGCATCATCCTCATTTCCCCTTGACATATTCATATCTGCAATAAAAAAGCAAAAGAGTTATTAATTGCTGACTTAGTTTCCTGACTGCACTACGAACCTGGTGTTGATATTTCTTCACCATGTATTGTACGATGTTTTAATTGTCCAAGAAAGAATACACCGGGTGGACATTCATTTTTATCCGCCATTGTTTTAACACGACATAAAAATAATTCTAATGAACGTTTAACAGCTGGTATCGATTTAATACATGTCAAAAATTTTAAATCTTTTTTCGTCATACCACATAATTGTTGTATTAAACGTGTACCTTGTTGTAATTCGGTTAGTAATTTTTTAATAACATCAAATTTGTTTTTAAATACGGTATCAAATGTTGGCATTGCTCTCATACGAAATACATCAATAAATTTTTTACTAAATCTCAATATTGCTGTTATCATTGTTGGTTTTTGATCAAAATCATGTATCTGAATAAATTTGACGAGTTTTTTAAATAATCCTATTAATTCTTGCCATTTTTCACATGTATTATCAATTGTTGGATCCTTATCTTGTGTAATCATTCGTAATGATTGCGCTTTAGCAATGTGATGTTTAAATATGCAACGATAATAGATAACAAACGTTTTATCCGTCCACGTTGACCAATTTCCATCTTCATCGTGGTTGTTACTAATGGTGGTGTTATTTGGTGAATCAAGTTGTTTTTTAGAATAATCACATAGTTCATCAAGAACGGACAATAGATCATTTCCACAATGGGTAAAATAAAGATTTAATAATATTTCCATTGATTTATTTGTTTTTGTTGTCAATGTTAACGATGACGTTGATGAATCACTTACATCAGACGCTAATTTTGAACTTTGTAATAGCACTCGACATTGTTTAGAAAATATATTGGCTAATGAATCCTAAATTAGAAAAACGGAAATATCAGAAGTCGGTCAGAAATAAAGATCTCTGAAGTAAAATGAACGGTTTTTGTAGTCGGGATGTTTAATTGATTGTTAACAGTGGATGTACTACGGTAAAGATTTCTAGAAATACTTCTCATTCGGTTATTTGAAATTCAACTAGTCCTTTTAGGATAAATGTACAACGTTTTTCAAACTATTCTGACATATTTCGATAAAACTTAAAACTAATTTACTCTAAAAATTTATTATTAACCTTTACTTCATACAGAAGAACTTGCGATGCACTCTCGGAAGGCATAACATATTGAAATAGTAAGAGATCACAAAGGAATCCAAAATATCATGTATGCATCATAAAGGTGTCATATAAGGATTGTAATAGAGTCATAATGTTATTAAAAAAGGTATAGAACTCTGCTGTTTCCACTTTGATAATGCCACTCTGAACACGAATAAAATTTAAGCAGCTTTTTTCAGAAATAAGTAAATTGTGCAGCTTTTGTTTCAACTCCGCAGAATTATATGACGAATATTTTTTATTCACACATACCTGATAAACTTCATCATCTGAATCATTAAACAACTGAATAATTTGTTCTAAACATTGGCATAATCGAACTTTGTCATTAAAGGCCAGAATATTTTCAAATGCTATTAATGATTTGAATGCTGTTGTATGATTTTTCTTTTCATTTGACATTGTTTCTGGTTTACTGTTGTTGTTACCACCAGTACATTTATTGATTATCAACATTAGAGTTGAAAGACAATTAGTTTGTTTTGGTCCTGCTGCTGTGGTCATTGCTTGTGTCTGGATTTGTTGATAATCTTTTTGTTTTTCCCAAATTGAACGTTTTACTTTAAATATAATTAATAATTGATAAAGGCAGTTTACAGCATATCGAAATGATGTTATTGCTATATCACGACTGGAATCATCATCAACTAAAAATGAACGATCTTGTGTATCAATATTAGCATCATCAATGTTATCGGGCGGTTGAAGAAAGAGTTGTATGGCTTTCATTGTACGAAGGATATACTGTAAAATTACACGATATTGACCAAAATCTAATATAAATTGTTCATCGATACTTTCATCATCATCATCATCTTCATTCTCATCATCATGACCACGTTTTTCTGTTGCTGCGGCCAAAGTAAGCTGAGTTGGAATTGCTGGTGCTTGAGTTGTACTTATTCGCTTGGTAGGCTTTGTATTGGAAGTTGATGTTGAGGTGTTCGATTGTGTAAGAAAACGATAAATTTCCGCAGTTAGTGTTTGTATGCAACGTAAGTAGATTAGTCGTTCTTTGCTTTTACTTTTCAATAATGGTTCAAGATATTCCATTATAACACGAAATGTTGACTGTTTCAATTGACGAATATCATACAAATAAATATCGATTGGTGGAATGGCTTTTGGTTTGATTTCTAAAGGAAAATAACAGATGAGAATATAACCATATATTCAACAACGGTTTACTTTAAACATACTCGGAACTGATGTACGTTTTGGTGTAGTTCCTGGTGAACGATGTGTAGCTGCTGCGGTGAGTGTTGTTCCGCTGAGATTTGATGGACTTCGTATAAAATTTTCTTCATCATCATCCCGTATCGGCGATTGAGCTTTTCTTCTACAAGAAATTAGAAGAGAGATAAATGCAACTGACTTATCTGTGAAGATCTGACGTGCGCTTGCGTTTATTGACGGAGTAAAGACAAAGTGTAATTCTCCTATACTTGTCTTGGATGCGTAATCGAGTATAAAGAGATGGACAATGAAATTTTTTGTGTAAATAAGTATCTATCTTATGCTGCTACAGACAGATAGAATACTAGCCGCCGTATATAATGCAGGCTTCGTAGAAATTCATATGCTCGCTGAGCTATAGTATGCAACACGGTGACAGGTCACCGATGTTTCTATCTCAGAATAGATGCAATACACACAAAGCTATATATTCGAACTAAATAAATATGCACACTTTTAAAATATTCTAAAAGTATCAAGCAACTTACTTTATTCCTTTTTTATTTGTCGTTGTTCCTATTTTCGTTTTGACTCGTTTTTTAGTTGTTGTAGGTTTTTTTGCTGCAATTGTTTTTTTTTTAATATTTATCGCGCGAAGAACATCCTTACTATTGTTATTTGAGCAAACTGGTCGATATAAACCATATGCATATTGATAAAATTTCACACAAGTTGCAAAATATTCTTCGATATCAGTTAATTGTGCTAAACGTTTTGTAATCAAATAATTATCATCATTATTAATCTGCTCATGAGAACATAATAAATTGAATATTTCACGAAATAAATAACTAGAAATACAGAAAGATGAACAGTATTTCAGTTATACAGCAGAGACATGTATTCTGTAATTTTACCTCGAATAATAGTATATATCACATAATATACGTAAAGTTTCTTGAGGCATTATTTTTAAACCATTTTCATATTGTCGTCGATATATTGGATCATCAAGACTGTTTTCGTTTAAAAAAACTGATTCATCATTGTTACCATCATTTGTTCGTAAAATATCAGGCTAAATTTGTAAAGCAATAATTCGATCTATCCATTAAGAACTAAAGAAGTATACGTACTAATCTTAAACTACATTGTAATATGGCATCTACACGCACTTCAGCTGGAATCGTTGTTGTTGTTATTGCCGATGAACATATAACAATAAGATTGAGTAGTGGAGCTAATAGTACCGGAGATGAACATGGATCATTCAATGAACGATATTGATGATATTTAACGACCAAATGGGTCATATCAATTATTGTTGGATTATCAGTATCTTTTCTAAAACAATATTGAATACAAGTTGGATGAGGAAAATTAGTTCGATCATCACTATCATTTGTCTCGGATACAAAAGCGTGTGAAAATGTATCAGCAGCTGAATTGGCAAACCATTCGAATAATTTTGAATCAATTGGAGCATCAAAAGTGCCAGTTGAAACTAAAACAAATAAAGTGATCTACAGTAGTAGATAATTTAATAAAATGGGTACGTACATTGTTGTGTTTGTGTTAAATGTTTATTTTTCAATGTTAAAATCATTGCGGCTAATTCATCATAAAATAAGGCGAGTGTGTGTGGACATTGTTGACCTGAATTTTGAACTAAGGCCAACAAATCTCGTATTTCTGTTTCAGAATTCATACACGCTGTTGTTCTTGTTGCATTTGTGGAAGTAAATGATGTAGAATATTTAGCCAATAATGATCGACACAATTCAACAGCACCAAAAACACCTTTTTCTTTTTCTTTATGAGGTTGAATAAGACATTTTGTCACAAATATATTAAACTGATCATGTAAACTTGATTGATGCATTGACGCCAATATTGCAAATACTAAACATAAATGTTCACCCTAAAAATACAAAATAAGAACATTGCCTGATGCTGAATGTTATTCAGACAAAGCGGTAACGCACGTTGTACAAGGAACTAGTTAATTGGAGTACTTAGTAAATACGTCAAGAAGTCGTTGTTACAAAGAACGAATGTCAATGCAAGTACAAATCGTTATCACACAAAACTAAAATACTGATATTCTAATAAGATTTTTGTTCTTTGAAGACTTTTGTATCTATGATAATCAATTACAATCTAAAATCTACGTAATATATCTTACAAGCATGTGAAAGTAATTTCGAAGTTCTTCTATAAAAATTCACTGCTTACTTGAAATATGTCAATATATTCCAAGAAATTTCTTAAAAATGATTCACAATTGTTCATTTTTGGTTGATATCGATAGCAAAATTTTTTCAATAATTTTAATAAATATAAACGTTGCAAATATCGATTTTGAAATATAATTATCTGACGTATAATAATATCAACTATATTTTCATAAAATTCTTGAGATGTACTCGTACTAAACAATAATTCATACAGCATTATACCAAATTGTAAACCAATTTGTAAATGAATTAAATTTCCCGATGATAATGTTGTATTTGTTGTTGTTATTGTTGCAAAATTACCAAATGATAAATGTTGAAATAGAGCATTGGCAAATTTTAATAAAAAATGTGAATATTTATTAACAAAGGAAATATTATTGATCAAATGTTGATGAATTTGTTTTATTTTAAATATATCTTCACCTAATTTAGTTGCAAATGTTTTCAAATGTGAATAATAATGCCGATCAACAAGTAAAAGACAAATAAATAAATCAAATAAAAAATGTGAATCAATAAGTAAACCATTATCAAATTTATGTTCTTGACACGCTTTATAGACACCTAATGATGAATTGAAATAATATTCAAAACGATCAAAGAAAATTTGAATTGATTCAAATTTATCCATTGATCCACCCGCTGTAGATGAGACTGCTGCTATCATTGAATCCAATCTAGAATTAAAAAAAAAAGACTAAGAAAGTGTTTAATTGCTTTATTAGAATTTTAAATCTACTTAACGGTAAACCGTTTATCTCATGTGTACTGTCCAGCTTATACTTACGTTAGTAATCGTCTCTCATTAAACTCAATCAGCTAGTTCACTTATACGAAAGAACTAATAGTGCAAAGAGATATCTCTATGTATGATAGTTACCTTAATGAAACAGTTGCTGTTTGTCGAAAATGATGTAATGATTCGCCAATTGTATCTTTTTTAGATGTTTCAAGCATATAACATAACATTTCTGTTTTAATTTCAATTGAACACATTGGTAATAATGGTATAATTTTTGATCGAATCTCACCATCCATTTTTAAATTGGGTTTCATTTGTGTTAATGTTTTTAAAACTTGTTTTGTTATATCGGATGTTGTTGGATCAATCAATTTTATTAATTCTTCAAGAATAGTATCTTGATATTTATCATCAAAAAACAGTTCATTAATTATTTCAACCATATAAGATATTGTCTCTTTATTCATCACCTGTAATATATCAAAATAATGTTTTAACATTTCTTTACCATCCGTTGATTTACTAATTGGTAAATAATGAAATGTTTGCAGAATTAAACGTGTCATTGATACGGGCGGTAGATTACCAACGGTGAGTTTATCACTGTTGATATATTCAACTAATTTATCAAGTAAATATATTCCTAGCCATGATTGAATATCATCAACACACATTAATAATCGTAAAAGACTATCTTGATTTGCACCACGAATTGTATCACAACCATCGGCGGTAATAGTTGGCATTAAACTTGAACGAAATATTTGTTCATTATTTAAAAATGATTCTATTTCAGCTAGGAACGTTTTTTTTGGAAGATGGATGGATGGTAAAATTGTTGATCCTGCACTTAATGCTGTACTGGCAGTCGTAGTAGCTCGTGATACAGGTAGCGGTGAAGTAGTAGCAGATATCTCAGAGGAAAACTTCACACGTGTTCGATGAGACATTCTTTTAATAAATATTGCTTGATCAACTGTCAATACAAAATTAATGTAATCGTTGTTGTTCATATTTTCTTCATCATTCAATACCATGTCGATGCCACATTCTTTTAATAAATCACAAAAATATTGACTACCACCTCCACCACGTCGTTTTAGTGATGATGGTATTGTAGCATGAGCATTTGATTGTAATCTTGTTTGTTGTTGAGACCATTGAGAAGCAGCTTGTTGTTGTGATCGCTCATGAGATCGCAAGGTACCGATTCCACGATACATGTTTTCTAATCAAAATCTTAAAGAAAAAGAAAAAATTCATTAATAAAAACCGATAGATCATAGTTTTGATCACTCAACAGACTATTTATATATTGAGTCGGTCGATTATTCGGAAAATTTGATAAATTCCAAAAATAATTGTTGGAAAACAATATAGGAAAACAGACGAAGGCGAAAAAAGCTTGAGTAGTTAGTATTTAGAGTTTTATGAAAGAAGGAAATTTTCTTATAACTCATTCTCTACAAGGAAGACAAGACTATTCTCGTCTTCTCAGTCGGCACGTTGCCGTGGAAACAAAGGCTTTACGCACGTGCTCCTGCGGTTTATTTTTACACACTCGCAGCTTCTGACGCGTTATTATTCAAAACTCGCTAAACGCGTAAAATTTTTCGTAAACAGAGTTTCCTGCGCTTTTCTGGAATGACTACGACCGACTGACTGGGTTGTTAGATGTAACTTTGTACGAGAGATCCGTTTGAATCTTTATATCATCCACGTATACTTCTCGTGTGCTATAGTGAAGACTTCTGAGATGGTGTCATTCAGTTCAGACAAACAATTCCTCTCGATTACATGATCGAATAATTCATTTAGATTTTAGCCAACTCGGATTAGTATCATAAACTCATAGAACACTGGAAAAACGACTATGAGAAACTTTGTATGACAAACTATCTGACTGTTCGTCACATATTTCTCATTTTTCAAATCTTAACAAATAAAACTAACCGCTTTTTTTCTTTTTCTCATTATCTATCGTTTCAATCGCTACGTCGCCTATAGTCCGCTATGTCCAACAAGCCAAAAAGTTTCTTCATCATAACACAGAAGAAGAACACGTCAACAGTATAAAGATTCAAACGGATCTATCGCGTGTGTTGGAGTTTTAGCCGAGAACATTGAAAATTACTGTTGACAATAATTATAATCATTTAAATTGAGCTCGTCGATTGAGGAAAAAAAGAGATGTCACTGTTATGTCATAATTCATAAAAAGAACATGTGAAAAAATCGCCTTTCTGTCTGAATCCTTCGTACAGTTATTGTTTATTCTTTGAGAGTTTCTTGCGTCCAATTTTTTATTATTACTCACGCGAAGGAAGATGAATGATATTTTTGACAACAGCTTGGCAGAAAATACGTTATTTTATGAAAGTAAAGTATTAAAAGAACGTATTTTTCTACTTAGGAACAGTAGTGGTCGGAACAAACAAACTTTAGTCGTTTGTATGCGGCTTCTTTATTCTTCACAAATCTCTAAGAAACAGACTAGTACGTAATATTTTGATAGTAGCCTAAATAACGGTGAAAATTTGTAGAAAATTTGTATAAATTCGATATTTTCGAAGAAAACGATGTCTAAGTTGTAACAAATGAAAATATCTCTACCAGTATCTGATATTTTCTATTATTGTCTGAGAATGTATCAAAATAAGTTTTGCTTTTAACCATTCTATTTAAATAAAAATGGTTAAAACCCAAAATTATTTTGATAGATCCTCAGACAAGAATAGGAAATATCAGATACTGGTAGAGATATTTTAAATCTTATAAATAATTTTTTGTTTGATAAAGAGTTGAAAGACGAGTTTAGTGGGTTTAGACAGTTGAAAGAAGAGTCGATTACAGTATTTGAAATTGATTTTCCGTATTTGATATTTTAAGATATTCGTAGGCAAGGCTAAAAATGGACTCTAAGAAATCTTCTTTAGAATCTTTAAAAGATTTACGAATTTCAAATGTTTCAATAAAAACAAATATCTGCGTGTTACCATCCAATAGTTACACTTTAATAGAACTAACATACCATAAAATATAGCAATATGAACTAAGTCAAAATCCATGGGATGTACTAGATTGTTTAATCTTTTCTTACTCGTTGTTTTTTTGCTGTAAGTAACTAGAGCCTAATTCTGATCGGTGCCCTTAATATCAACCATAAATCTAATACGATAGCGACACGGATAAGTTGAAACAATTATTTGTTGCGCTAATTTTTAAATGGAATATTTTTTATTATATTTGTTGAATTAGAATGTGAATTAAAAATCGTTGTATAAAAAAAAAAAAAAAACGAACAACAAAAACACGCTCGTATGTATAATGGAAACTTTCGAGAAATACATTTGTTTGTGTAAAACCATAAAAAATTGACTTTTATACACATGGTGAAAATACACAAAAAAAAACAAATAAGAACAAAGTGTCAAACTTATGATATGAATTTTATTCTAATGACAAGAGTTCACACAAAAATATAATACACCGTCAACAATATCATATTACGATAGAAACCAGTCGAGAAATTATCATTAATAAATGTGAAGTAAACAGTAGATTGACCATAGGAAAGAAGTATAAAAGACATCCATAATTATGAAACGTTTCAATTTAAGATTTATTTCAACTTTATTTTAAACAATAAAACATTCGTCTATTGATGATGAGGGCCGGTGACGCGAGTTTCTTCTTAACATAAGAAATAAGAAGTAGCAATTCAGTAGAACCAAAAGAAAATGAGAGGAAAACAATGACGTTATAAACGAACTCGTACTTTTCAGCTCGTTTTAAACGATACATTAATAAATTCTGGAAATTTCTCAGCTGGAACGATAATCCCAAATATTATTAGAAAAATGAATTTATAACGACAAAGCAGCGATTTAGGATAATATACGATCGAAGTAGAATCTTTCGACGTAAATGTTATTCAATCAATTAGAGCATCAAATTAAAACGGCAAAAATATTCCCGGAATCAAAATACAACTTTTCTGAGTTTCATCGTCAAATGATGGATTAGTTGCGAGCGCAACTAGATGTTTTCAGCAGTGATCTTGCAATATCTGACTCACTACAGATGTAAAAAAAGAGTTGACTACTATGTTAAAACTTTTCTTAATCGCCGCTGTTTTCTTTTTGAGCACATATCAATCGAAAATAAAATACATCTAAGAAAAATGTAGACGTCGTAAAGTAGATAATATCAATCTATGTACGCAAGAAAAAAACTATTCAAAATAGAAAAAGATTAAACAATTGTGTTCACTCGACAATGCAAATATTCTATCCGAAATGAAATGATGTAATGATAGTACAAATAATGGGTAAGAGAACAAAGAAACAGGAAAATATCCTTTTCGATAATTAACACTAAAACTACGTTGATTTGGTAGTAATTTAATGTGATATATGGCTGATGTTGAAGAGAACTCAAATATTGAATGACCAAATATTAATTTTGTGATGCTAAAAATGATGTTAATTGTCGATGTGATCGTTGTTTGTTGTTTAGATTGACAAGACAAAACAATGAAGATGAAATAGTAGATCGAAATAGAATTCGTTTACTGAAATTCAATAATCTGTTGTGACTAGATTGATCATGACTAGGATTTTCTATTATGACATTTATTTTGATGATTCGTTGAACAGCTGTAAAAAGATTTCATTCGTTAGCAAACTAAAACTATAAATAAAAGGAAAATCATGTCTTTCGTAAGCACAAAAGTTTCGAAAAACTGCTCTCTTTTTGATTGACATTATTCAAAGATAAAAACAACTCGAAAGTAAATCAGAACGATAAAAATCATTCTGTATTTAAAAATCTTTTACTTACTCGAAATACGCGTATGTCTATTTCTTTTGAGAAAAATGGTGACGGATAAGATGTAGAAGTAATTAATTTAGAGTCATCATCATCCATATGCTTTGAGCTGGTAACGATCCAATGAGTAGTAGAGTTGATACCGAAATTTGAGGGAGGACTGAGTTGAAAATGAATAGGTTGATGAAAATGGTACGCCTAATGAATGATGAAAATCATAAGAATTTGCACAAAATGATAAGAATTGCATTGCCAGCGATATTTATGAAGCATCAGATGCCAATATTTTACTTGAATAATAATAGTTACTTGTAGCGAATTATTGAGTTGTAAATTGAAACAGATTGTTTCGATAAAAATTATAGCGGAAAAGTAAAAGTTAAGAATGTAATTATTTCACAAAATAATAAATATTTACATGAATGTAAAGGAATGATTAGATACAATAACCTATTCAAATTATTTGAATATGGATGAAGAGTGATAATTGTAAACAGGCAATATTAAAACATAACTGTTGATTAAGTTCTATGTTAATCTTTTTTTTTTATAAGTATTAACACAAAAAGTTCTTTCTTCTTTTTCTCCATTTATAATGGTTTGATCAATAACAATATAATAATTAAAAATAGTTGAAAATTGATGAATAATATATAAAAGAATTTGTGCACGAATAAGAAGTAGAAAATAGAAATCAAAAAAGACAATGAGTTAATAAAAAATATTTTAATTGAATCAGTTTATCACTGTTATTCAACATTAATCGATTGTTGTTCTTATCAATGATGTTGATCCTAGAATGAAAAAAATAAACTTTGATAAACATCACTGGTCAGATTTGAAGTTGTGGCAAACAACGTACGAAAGCAAGTATAAATAATAGAAAAGAGAAAACAAGCAGACGAGAAAGCGAATGTCAGTGAGTAATTTGTCGATAGGTCAGAACATCATATTATTATTGTCAATTAAATTTAAGCTATTTGTATTTTACCTTTTCAATCTACATAAACGTTATTTTGTGTGATTAATTTGAAAGATACAAGCATAATTAAGGATAAAAATTTAGCATTGAAAAATGATTGATGATCAAATATATGATGGTGCTGATAGTATATACTCACAAGCATTAATTTGTGTTATACGATGATAAAAATATAGATACTATTCTACGATAAATAATTAAAAAATGATTCTGTCTTTGTGAATTTTCGAATAAAATGTACCCATATTTATTAGTCCTTGAAGTGCTTCTAAAAAGCATTGGCGTATACTCTGCAAAGAAAAACCTGACATATTGACAATTCTCACTGACCGAATGTTTTAGTAGTCTTTTTCTACTTTTTAACAGGATAATCACAACATTCATTAGCAGTGATTGTATTATTATTAATAATGTAATTTTGTTGATTATTATTATTATTTCTTTTAATTTTAGTTGTTAAGGATTTAGCATTTAATACAATCTGTTCTTCATTGTTACTTGTATTGTTTTTATTTCCATTTGAGTTATTATCGTTATTATCTTCATCTATTTTATACATTATTTGTTCATTGGCATAAACAGAATCGGATATCGATGATAAATGAGGTGACTGATATAAACGATGATGGTTTCCTGCTTTTTGTGTTGATAAACTATTATTATTATTAATGGTTTCATAATCATCATCATTATCTTCATCCATATTCAAGTATAATGGCTCTTGTAGAGACAATGTTACGCTTGGAATATCAAAAAATGGACGACGTGTAGATAATTGTTTTGTACGATATTCAACGGTATTATCGTTTAAATAATCAGACGAAACTGTTGGTTGACGTTTTAGTGACACGGAAATTTTATTTAACAACGATTTGTAAGGTTGATACAGATTAAGACTAGGTTGTCTAGTCTTATTCGTGACGGGTGATGATAACAATGAGAAACCTTTTTGTTTCGAACGAGATTGGGATTCCTAGAAATAAATAATCTTGAATAAAAAAGTCTTCTTTTCTAAAACGTTTCAAGGTTTAGGAATGACGCTAGAATAATAACCATCTGTTAAGAAAACATTTACTCGCAAACAATTTTAATGCTCGAATACTATATAAAAAATGTGTATGAAGTAGACGGGTACATTTCTCCTGCGAATATTTTTCTGTATATATTTATAGATAACTATCTTTCTCAAGTAAAAAAGTCAGTGGACTATAAAATATAATCTTAATTCTAAGCCATACTCCAAAGAGCAGAAAGAGAAGAGCGTGATATATAAAAGAATGATCATCATCATACTTGTTTATCAGATGTAGACCGATTTAATCGATGATGTTGTTCGATTGTTTGTTGTTTCGATAATAATGTTTGTCGATTTTGTTTTGAAAATCGATTATGTGTTGCTTCGTTAATATTTTCATCGCTCGTTGTTTTTCTCAATGATTTATTCAACGAATGATCGAATGATGAATTTTTATTCTGATTTTTTATTTCCTTTTCAATGATATCATTACACGATTGTGATTTTTGAATATTTGTTCGATTTCGATCAAATATAGCCAACGTTCTATTTCGAAACATTAACGAAAAATCATGTCGAACATTTGCTCGTACATGATCGGATGGATGAAAACATTGATAATAAACAAATTGAAATAAGACAGCAAACCAAAAACCCGTACAAACAAATGTTACCAATGAATATTTGAATAATAAATTTTTTTCTTGACTATGTACAGCGTAAATAACGGAAAATGCAATATTTTCAATATAATAAACGGTGTAAAATGCAATATATCGTTGTCGAGTGTTACCTTCGGTCAAATTCATATAGCAAAAGATGTAGATGTAGGAACAAACAATATTATAACATTTTTCAAATATCGCTTCTCGTGGTACATATTTATTTTGATCACTAATGCAAAAACCGGTTTTCTGAAAAAAACACACAATAAGGTTTTTATTTCGAAAATCTATCTCAATACTTACAAATCGTAATATCCAAAATAACATTCCCATCCAATGAGCACAAATAATTATCCAAAACCATGAACGCGATGATGCAGCAAACATAGCCAATGCTAAGACTCTTGGAGTGATTAAAAAAACATACCATACCCATTGTATGATGGTTGCCCACCATGTTACAGGGCTTGGAGCTGGTTTATCTTTTGGCCAATCGGCCGCTGAATGAGTTAACATCATATGACGCAGACAACGTGAATAGCCACTTAATCCATAAGCCAATGATCCTAATGATGAGAAAATTGATAAACTTTGCTTTAAGAATAATGCATCGTCTAAATGAAATAAACAAATAATTATATGAGAAAAGCACGATTAAAATAGCAAAAAGTTTAGTTTACATTTGCTCTACACATTGAAGGCGCCGAAGAAATTGTTGAAAAGACAAATGATTTCAAATCTAGAGTAGAAGTCAAATTCTTCCAGCCTGATCCCAATTTTATTTATATATAAGAAACCCTTTAGCTTGTAAAAATTTTTGCCGCTCTTGTTCTTCCATTGTAGTATACTGACGATAATCTTGCTGAAATAAAATTAAACTTCGATTTTTTATTCTCACTCGCACACAGTTATTCTAGTTAACTATTATATTTACTGGAATCAAGGTTGGACAATTCAAGACTCTTTCAAGACTCATTAAAAACAAGTCATTAAAAATTTTTGCTAAGTCAAGTCTGACTTGTCTTGTGAGACATTTTTGACTTGACTAGCTCTGGTTGGAATACTAATACGCTGTCTAAGAGATAAGTTCAACGATGATTTATATTTTATGAGGATGAGAAGAAACAGCAATTTGCCCTCTCTTATCACTTAAACTGTTCAGTAATTTAAAAAGAGGACTCAAAGAATTAAATTAAAACTTACATATCAACGATTTTGAATCTTTCAACATAATGTAAAGTTGCAGTATGACTTGTGAACCAGAATCCATAAATACATCGAAAACTCTTAATAATGCAATATCAGCATCGATCAATATTTGTTTCGTTAAATAATATCTCTGCCACTCTTTGTTCTTTCGATATCTATAACCTTTGTACGTGTAATATAAACCACGAATGTATCTAAGATAAAAAACAAAAAAGAATTGAGTATTCTACCTCTGTTCTGAACTTACTTTAAACAAAGATCTAGTTGTAACACAAGAATGATAATTCGTATAATCCATCGTAATGCGTTTGATGTTGCTGACGACGGTTGAGTGAGTATCTCATCGCTTGCATTTACTTTTTGTCTTTCTGACGGTGGTGTTTGAGAATATCTTGCTCGGTTGGCATACGTAACCGTTTCATCTAGAGTATTTTGTTTTATTTCTACGTCATCGGTTTGTGAGAATGATGCATAATGGTTCGATTCATGGGGTGAGGCTAGTGTCGTGGAAAATGTGGGTCGTCTTCTACTCAGAGTATCAATATCTCCACCACTGTTATCCTGACCATGTTGTTCGTTCTGTTTTACATCGGTCGATTCTGCCGAACTTGTTTCACATGAATCATCGTTGACTAAGGGTGATGTTTGTAATGATACTTTCGGACCGTCCAAATACCACACCAAGCTGAATAATGACAATGTTAAATTCGGAACAATAACACAAGCTAATGTTAAAATAAACAACCAATAACTTCCTTCGTCATAATAGGCGTGAGCCAAGATTATATCGGTCACCGTGTCGAAGAAAAATGCAAATACCTTTTTAAGAAACAAGAGAAAAAAAACGAATCGCAATTTTTCGAAACCTATAAGGATTTATTTACTCACCCCCCAAGCGTATATAAACACTTCAAAAACGTTGATGGTCATTGTATCAGGAATAAAATCCAGTTTTGTTGTTGTGGGATTTAAAGGCGACAGAAGAAGCGGACCGCCTTGCATTGAAAGCAAATCAGCATCGCGTTCAAATAGAACAGGAATTGGTGGTGGAGCAATATCGGCTAACGTTAGACGATGTGGTTGTTGTTGTAGCTGGTCAACTGATACTTGAAACTGTAATTCTTGTGATTCATTTTCAATAATTGAGGAAAGTTTATTTGGAGTTGAGGATGAGGTTGGTTCCTCAGTAGTAGGCGGTACAGGCTCCGGTGGATTAGTAGTACCTGTGGCAGCGATCACTTCTTTTCCAAGTAAACCAAGCGGATTTGCTCGAAATAATTCTTGATGTGTGAGATCTTTTATCGACTGTAGTAAACTGAAACCAGTTTGTGTATGAGAGGGCGATTGATGATCATCGGATGTAGAAGTTCCAACAGAAATCGTTTTTGATCGTAAACGTACGTCACTGCGTGATTGTGACGACGACCGAGATTGTGCATCCGATTGATGAAGAATCCTGCCATCCTCTTCACCATTAACCACATCACTCTCCGCTAAAGAAAAAGACGCATGAATACGGCAGAAAGTTGGAACAACGATCTTCTTTCTAAGCAAAAGAAGGCAAATCATTCGAAAACTTCTCTTGTTCTTCAAGAAAAACGATCCAATTTTCAAACATACTTGTTTCAGAACCAAGTTGACTCATGTTTTGTATGTCATCTTGATTTGTAAACGGTTCATAATGACTAGATGACATTCGATCGAAAAAATAAATAACGTTTACTAGCCGTTATTCAGAAATCATCAAAAACTGATGATGTTTGACAATTCAATGGGTAAAACTCCCGTCATGTTATGTCCATGATGGTTTCACAGATAAGATGGCTCATACAATTTAAAAATAGAAACATATTCTTCATTAATTTAATACACTGATTGTGTCAAAATTCACAAAAATATATATGAAAAACGATAGCTAAAAAATGACTCAGATCATCTAAAAAAGAGCAGCAAATCGGAATAACACAAACAAATCAGCTCAGTTATCCAAAATCTAAAAGGCATCAATTTTGTAGCTGAGAAAACAAAAAATCACTCAGTACAGAGCTTGTTCGTGTGCTATCAACTATTACTAGCACATAAGAAAACCAAACTGTATTTTCGCAGTAATAACAGTTATATATCGAAATAAGAGAGTAAAACGTTTTATCAGTCCAAAAATTAACATTTCAACAATAATGTTCTAATCGCAAATGCAAAGTTAACTGAATGATCCAGAGCAACAGAACATGTACTGAAATAGTAACAATTTTTTCTCATGGTACATTCAATAGTTATTAAAGAGAAATAAGAACAAATATTTCCTGTATAATATATACGACAGCAAAAAAAGGAATAATAAACTATAAAGCTTCTTGAGCTTCATGTTTCAGCAGTGTTTGTAAATCACTCAGTTTTTTTTTCAAAACATTTAAACACGATAACACAACTAAAAGAAATAAACCAGAAATTTTAAAATGAATATGATATTCTATTACATTTATCAACATACTTGTTTCGGGTTTAAGTGCCCCAATTGATTCAACATTGAAATAGTATTTATTTGGAGCTTTATTTGGATCAAATATACCCTGATGCTGATCCTCTGGTAGTTCGGAATGCTCTGAATGAGGCCATTCTTCTGGCACTGGATAAACAGTATGCCGTAAAATATTATCAGGATCATATTCAAATGATACACCACATGTCGGTATCCATTTGGCATGCTCTTTACCAAATCCTTTTCGTGCATATGCTTTCAATTTTAATTCTTGGCCTTTACGTAATTTAACAATTAAAATATCTATAAATAGAGAATAAGGAATAAAGGAATATTATTTATACCGCCATAATAATTTAACTATTCCAGTTGTAAACATACGTTCGACATATAAATCTTGTGTTTCATCATCATTTTTTGAGCGTGATGTTACCGGCACTAAGCGTGGATCAGTTGAAATCAAATCGGCTGTTGTTACCTGAAAAAAAAGAATAAATAATGTTTCATTTCTGTTTGACTAGATAGTTCTACATACCTGACGTGTTTGATCATCTTTATTTTTAACATCTAACGTTAATTCTACAGAACAACTCGGACAATATCCTTCACATGAACAATCTCGATGATATAACATTCTGTCAACTAATTCTTCGCTATACAATGGTATCATACCAATTCGATGTGCTAAAAATTCATCAAATAACACCGTTGTATTTGAATCTATCTGTACACTATCGATGGCTGAAAGTAAAATCAAACTACAAATAATAGAGTCTTTGAGTTAATGTAGCAAAACACTAACCTATTATCGGTGTTTCAGCTATCATACATCGTCGTATTCCATTCGCCACACTTAAATCGGTGTTTTCAATCACAAATTTAATATTGTCTGCTGTTACTTCACTCACATTGACAGTTGGAGTGTTAGCGTAGGGCATTTTAATCTAAAAGTACAAAGAAGAATTGTGTTAGAAAACTGTTAACAAAGTAAAAAAGATTTATTTGTTAAATGAAAATAAATCAGTAATAGAAACTCTTTGATCTTTGAAAAAGATAGCGGCAGTGACTCTATGGTGGTGAACAATCAATAGTTTCAGACCGTTATGTTGAATTACTTTCAGAACTTCGATTAGATTCTTGTTTTTCTAAGACAGCGTTCAATAAATCTTTTCAACAAATATCATATAATAGCATGACTTGCACATGTTCGACAAACACTAACATTGTTGAAATAATTCACCTTAATTTCCGATATTTCTTTCTGCTCTTATCATGACCAGCTTTGAACTCAATAATAATAGATAGGAAACTTATTAGAATCGTACTCTTTGCTAATAATTGCATTTGAAATGAATAAAAGTACATATAAACTCTCTTCAGCACATTCATAAATACTCTGAAGTAAGAATGATTTCTATATGAGTACCTCAATGACTCATTTTCATTCAGTGTTGCCAAAGATGAAACAGAATTATTCTTTCGCTTGCAGTCTATCACATACAAAGCGTGATTGAAAGTCTATGGCCTAGGCCTGTGATAGTTCATGTTCTTTCAACGAGAACGGTTCAGTATTTCACGTTCCTAGAAACGAGGAACTGTTCGGTATACCGAACCTTTATTGCTCATGATTTACTGTCCCTCTGTCAGTGTGACGACATATCCCGATCGAGAATCTGTTTTACAGCAAAAAAATTTCTACATCGTAATCGGGATATAGCTGATATCTCGTTTAGGATATAAATGTCCCCTTACTGTCTATTTATCTCCTTTAACATGCTAGTGAATTATCGATCAGGACTATATTACTTAATAAGTTATCTTTCGTAACGGTACGAGAGCGTTAATTGTCTTTTGTGTTGATCATTATCAGGAATTACTTTTTGCATGAGATTATAGAAAAGTCTTTCACAATAGATTCATGTGAGAAAAAAAGCGAAAAGAGGGGTACTCCAGAGTTCTTCTTCAACTAGAGGACCGAGTTTTTTGCCATAGGGAAAAGTTTTCTTCAGGTAGGTGTGGCCGCATTAAGATTGGTATCTTTGACAAACTCCAGTTTGAACACAGGATTCTTGAGACTTTTGAGCAATAATACCAGAAATATGAGGAATCTTTAAAAAGCGGTAGAATTATAGTTTATTTTATTGTACATACTTCCTTTAAGTTGGATTTTTAACTGTCCTTGTAATACAGAGAGTTCAATAGACAAATCTTGAATCAGTATAGACAAATCATTTGGAACAACAAACTAGAAGCTAAAAACTTCTCCATCATGCAACCGCTAACTTAAGCAGATGAAAAATTCTGACAAGAAACTACATAATTTAAGAACGAAACTGGTATTATGCAGCTAAAACAGGATAACCATTGATATATATTCTTTTCAAGGATCTCTCTCTCACTAACATGTTAAAGATAGCGTTTTCGATTACGTGGAGAAATTCTCCCTTCTTCAAAATTTTTTGGAGTTGCTCAATAAAACTTCCCCCCTTTATCAAAGTTATATCGAAAACGCTGGTTCCTATTCACAGGAACTGGTGAACCACTCCTCGTTTCTAGGAACGTGAACTGCCGAACCGTCCGTAGTTCAGTAAACGCGAACTGAAAATTACTTTGCGTTATTGAGAAACTGCAATTCAAGAAACTACGAACTGTCACAGATCTAGTATCGAATAGGTTTTATTATTCAACTTTCGCTATCTGCCAATAGTACCGTTTTGTTTTGTGAAAACAAAACTTTGATGAAAGCGTCTTCCGTGTGTAGCAACCACCATCACTCCATAAAACTGAGAGAGTAATATGGGAATGATTAAATCACTAGTGTTTCTAATAAGGTGTGTAGTACCGTAACGAAATTAAGGAGGGAAGAGGGATGCCCACCCCCCTATATGTGCCCTCAACTTATGTCAGTTTGAAGAGGACACCTGATTACATATATTATTAATTAGTTAAGTTTAAATTTTAATTAAAATTTAAGGTCCTAGTTCTCATTTTAAAAAACTTGTAGCTGAGTCAAAAATAATCCTAGAAAAGTCATTCATGCATTGCTTGATAGCCAATGATCTGTTGTTATGGTTTGATGAAAAAAGTTTTAAGACAATAATTTATAATTAATCAATGTTAATGAATACAAATTAATATCACTCTGGTGCCTTACACTTTTATTTGCAAATTAATAGTTTATTGGAAATGGTAAAGTAATACGTCATTCGAGAGAGATTTCCAAGCGCTACAAATCTGTATTTGACCCCTATATTTGGCTTTTCAAAATGTTACCGATAAGCAGTGATTTATACTCGGTTTTAGCTAAATGGGGTTTCTACTATGGATTTCTGTATAGAGCTGCCATGGGTGTTTTTTGAATAACTCGAGAGCGAGAAGAAATAGAGAGTTCGGATTTTCAGCATTCTGTAGAGAAGGCTTTATTCTATCTTCACATATATTTTTTGTGCACGAAAAATCTTAGTTTTTCAGGTGGTGTACCTGACTTTTTCTTTTCTAATGATAAAACCTTTAAAAAATTATTGATTATAAAATTTCAAAGTTAAAAATGTTTTAATTTTCATTTAACTTCTGTTCAAAATTTTTTCTTGAAATTCCATTCCGCTTATTCCATGCAGAATGACATCAACTACAACTTCGCCAGCGAAAATTCTTTGTTGTTGTTGGCAAGGTTTTCAAAAGTTACTTTTTATGGTTAAAAGTAGAAAAAAACACTCTTTTTACGATGTTTCACTTAAAAAACCTATGTTGTTCGAAACTTAATTAATTAATAACTCTGTGAATAGTTACCAGTTCATCGAGAAAACTGAAGAATATATGTAATCAGGTGTCCTCTTCAAACTGGCAGAAGTTGAGGGCACATATAGGAGGGGTAGAACCCCCTTAAATATACACATTGTATTAGTTAGTGTGAAAAAAAACAAAGTATATCACTGCATTCTGACTCTGAATCTCATTGTTAGGGATCTACCAAGCCTTGAGATCTTGCCGCAAAAACCACATATTCTCGGTATCAAAAACTCCCAGGCCCTACCATGCCTTTATCTCAGACGTAATCAGCTCTCTCTATTTAACCCAAAACTAGTGACAGAATTGCTCAATTTGAGCAAAACAATATCAGGCTTGGCGACAGATGTAGAAAAAACGCGACTTTCACCAAGCCTGGTATCGTTTTGCTCAAATTGACCAATTCCGTCACTAGTTTTGGGTTAAACAGCGAGAGCTGATTACGTCTGAGATAAAGGTACGGTAGGGCTTGGGAGTTTTTGATACGGAGAATATACGGCTTTTGTGGAAAGGTCTCACGGTTTGGTACATTCCTACTCAATTAGAAACACTGATGATCACTCTTACCATTATAAAAAGACTTGGAATTATTTAAAATACGTAGAAAAGTTTACATACTGAATCTCTGTTAGAATTTACAGAAGAAATACAGTAAAACGAGTACAAACATTCGGTTCGCTGCACAAATTAATCGGACTTATAGTATGCTAGAGTCAGACAAAATTCACAATAACTCAATGCAATGCAACTTTATAACCTGGAGTAGAAACTAAGAAAAAAATTGATTGGTTAAAAATGCACCATTTAGACTAAATACATTCTCCTCTTTTGCAATAATGAAACGGCACGTCTTCGCCCTAATGCTACTGACATCTAGCGCACGGTGATGATAGAATGGGATATAACACATGCGGTCAAAATGACTTGAGATTGGTGCACTGATAGGTTTGAAACCCTTTGAGTGATTTAAGTTAAGTAATGATTGAGAAAAAGATTTAGTTAAATAATTTGACGTGGACGAATTTTTCACTTAAGTTTTAGTTTCAGTTTTTTTAAGAAACTGGCCCCGAGGCCAGTTTCGAGAAGGAATCACAGAGTATTTTGAACTTGGCATTGCAGAAACTTCCAAAAGCTTTTCGCTATTAACTAAATGTTGTTTTGTACGACCAAGGGTTTTTCGCGACTGGGACTGAAATACTTGGTCTCATCCATTTTTAAAGAGTAAAAAACGGGAAGGGAAGTCGAACTTTGAGGTAAATACTCAACTTCTTCACAATGAGAGTAAATTTTCATTTTTTTCAAAAAACGGGAGTAAAGCATAGCACACATACGTATACGTTTACGACAATCAGACAAGATTCTTATCTCATTTTTCGTTGATTTTTCATCTTTTTTCAAAAAAGATTCTTCAATGGAATGACTATATCAACGATGTAATTATTACTTTGTTTTGTAGATATCTGTGCTATATATAATTTTCGTTATTAATCAAAAGTTTTTCAATACAAGATATCTTATTATTCTAACAGGATTCTTGTTAAGAGACGATTGAATCAGTACTTTAACGTATGCCTATGCTGTCATGTGTACAACCATGCTACATATATACGAAAAAACAAAATTGATAATGAACTATAGATGAATTTGTTGTACATAAGATTCTTCCAAGATACTTGAGATAATTTTTGTAAAATATTTGAACGCAAGATTCTCATCTGAAGTGATGAGAGACAAGAATCTTGCAAGAAATAGGATAAGAAAGTCGACTAGATGAGTCAGTGTTTTTTTCTATTTGTTGTTGTTAGAGATGTAAGTCGATCGAAAAATCAGCGGTGACTCGCTGAACGCTCAGCTTCCTCAGCGCCTTGCGGGTTATTCTTCAAAACTTTCTTGTCGCTAATTCCGTGGCGATGCTAAGTTTTCGTATTTCGCAGAAAAAATATTATTTTCCTAAGTTTTGCAAAGAAAATCAACTTCTCCAGAGATTCTCTAAGGGAAAACGGGCTTTTTCCTAAAGGAAAACCTCTTTTTACTTTACACCTCTAGTCGTTGTTCTTTTTCTAGGGTTGCTTTCCTTTGACGTTGTGTTAGAATCGCGAACGATTTACGACAAAAAGTGAAAAGAATGGGGACATCTTATTTGATTGGTTCGGTTGGCAGGTCAATTGATTTTCCTATTTCATCTACATTTTATAGTGTCGGCACCTCACTAACATCTGCCAGTTTTCCCTACTCAATCTTGTCGACGAGTCAGGAAAAAAATTACCGAATCGGGTCGATACCTAAGAAAAGAAAACATTTTTAGCGATTTTTGTGCACACAATGAAGATTGTCGATTTTAAACTCATGTTTTTCATTAAAATTATCAAAATAATCAAGCTAGAGTCATCAGCGGCGTAACCAGGATTTTTAGTCCAATGGGCAAACTTCTATTGTATCGAAAAAAAACGATGGGCAAAATGGGCAAGGTTTTTGTCGAT